AAGGTCATCATTCGATATGAAACAAATGCTACTTGATGCAGAAGCTGGATGTTGGGAGGTCTACACTTAACATAATTTGTAATATTAAAACAAGGCTTTTCTCCATATGTTCTTCATAGCATGACTTGTTATAATAATGTACCAGATGAAAAACCTGAACATTCAAACACAGGGGCCTAGGGGAGGGTTCCAAGATGACAGTCACCAAGAATGAATGAGAAAATGTTGGTGTATAAATTAATGAAAACTGAGGATAGAGACAGAGTATGTGTACACACTGTGTGATGCTTTCTTCTGGAAATATACATTAAAAAACAGAATTCCATTTTTTGGCATCTTTGGGTGACCTTTTTAGCTTCCCCATTGTGTATTTTCCAAATATTCTATACTGAAAACATACAGTATCAGCTTAAAAAAAAGTTTTAAAAGTCTCAAAACCTCATTTATATTTTCAGTGTTATGCTTTGTTTGTCTCCTTTTCTCAACTCAGAGAGTTAGTTAAGGTCAGAGCCCTGGTCCCATTTCTCCAGGCAGTTTGGTCCCATGTGGGCACTCGAGCTCACACAGAAGCTCCTGGCTGCAGCAGTCTGCACTGGTGAGGGCACAGCCAGGGTGACTCTTCTCCTGGAGTCTCTACCTGTTCCAGGAGGGCCCAACCAGACTGCAGGGCTCAGCTCCTCTTCTCCCCAAGAGGCAGGAAGAGCAGAGTCAGCCTGAGCCTACAGGGAGCTTGGCATCTCCCAGGAAGGAGGAAGCCCTGGGGGTCTGAGCTCACAGAGTGGACTGAGAGATCAAGAGGATCCAGGAGGCAGGAGGCAGGAGGCACTTGTCCCWCAGAGGGCCTGGCAGGAGTTTGGACTCTGTTCAAACAGCAATTAGAAGCCCTGAAGGATGTGAGCCCAGGAGTCACATGCCCTGGTGGGACTCTGCCGAGCTCACACTGTCTATGGAGATCATCCTGCAGGGCTCCCAGAGGTCAGCAGTGGGTTAGGTTACATCATCTTCAGAGCTGGGTCATGAGGAACAGGGAAGTGCTAACAGAATTTGAGGGGAGGAAAAGGCATGTCCCTCCTGTGCTGGGGCAAGTTGCCCTGATGGAGGCCGCCTCCCAGACAGCCAGGTATGTAGGGTCAGGCCCAGAGTGGGGCCAGAGATGGGGTATTAGGGAGGGTAATCCTGCAGACCCTTGCAAGTGAAGAACCCAACGAAGGAAGTAGAGAGAAGGGAGAGGGCTCAACAGGAACACAGGTGTACTGGCACACACCTGCAGGAAGGGTCCAGCCGTGGTGGCTGGAACCTGTCTTCTGCTTACAGCCTAGGGTAGTTACAGGGGCATGGGGGGTGGGATTTCTGTGGTTAGGCCCCAGTCAGGGGGCGGTGGGGGAAGGTCCTGTCTCACCACCTTCCTTCTTTGTGGTGGTCACTGCTCTATGCAGAACCAGCTGCTGTTCAGGATTGCAGACCCAGATAATAACTCCCTTCAAGTGTGAAGATGAGTGTTGTCTGGAGTTTAGGTAGGGCTGGGTCGGAGTGGCCCACCCTGGGTGACTGCTGTTCCAAGGTGGAGGGTGCATTTTAAAATGGTGCTGCTGTGTCGAGTGCTTCCTAACAATGCTGTCACCCCACCAGCAGAACACAAGTGCAGGGAGGAGCCCACTTCTGACCTGGGGCCCTGGCCCTGCCCTGGTCAAGATTGAGCCCTGGCAGGTGCTGCTTTGTATTGTTGGCTCCCTATCTTTGGGACTGACAGGGGATCTCAGTGACACAGCTGCCCTCTCCGCTGGCCTCATCTCAGAAGAACCCAGCCCTGCTCTTCCCCGGCCAGCAGGTTGATATATGACCCCAACTCACACCCCCACATTAAGGTCTCTGTCTCCACCGACTGAAAGGCTGGGAGGAGCCCACTGACAGTGACTAGGAGACTGGGAAGCAAAGTTCAGGATGCCCTGTGCTCCACTGATTGTTGCAGAGGTCCCTATCTGCAGCCACTTGAGGGTCTCAGGCCCAGGTAGGGACTGGAGATGACAAGGATCCCTGGCTTGCAGTGGCCTGGGGCACGGTCACTCACTGTTCTTGGAGTGTTGGGGTGAGACCTTGCCTGAGCTGACTACATTTGTTAGGGGACACTTCTTTGGGCCCAGGCTGCCCAGGAGTGGGGCCAGGAGAATCCCACCCTGTGCTTCCTTCTTTTGCTCTCGGATCCAGGATTTTAGAAGGTACTCCTGGCCCGACCAGACCCCTGCACTATAAATGGCGATGCAGGAAGGAGCCTCCAGTGAAATTCATGAAGGAAATTCACAAAGCAACAGGGATACAGCCAGAGTTAGCAGCTTCCCTGATAGTAAGAGGGGCCGCCTGGGGGACCCACCCAGAGTGATAAGAGGCTTCAGAGGCATTTCTCTGTCGAGTTTCTTTGCTCTTGGAAACTGTGTTTCTATTAATTTTACTATAAAACAATTCATGTTCTTGTATGCTTAAATCTTTTATTCACTCTCATTCTACTTATCTCTTCCTCTCTCTCTTCATATATATTATGTACACATATTTACATGTAATATTCACTAAAATAGTTGATCAAGCAACATGAATATCTTCAAACTTTAATAAATATGTATCAAATATAAACTCAACACCTTTTGGAATCAGCCCTGGAGTCAGATGGACGGGTGCAGGGTTAAGGGAAATGTGGAGTGGTCCCTTTGCCAGCCCCCCAGGGCACTGCCCACTCTCAGACTCTGGCAGGTGAGATAGGCCCTGGGAGAAGTGAGGGGCACCGGGGCAGGGAACTCCCTGGAGATGTCCCTTCTGGCTGATATGGTTTGGGCCTGTGCACTCTGAAGCTATGGAAATTAATCCCCGAAACGCTCAGGTCCACATGGCCCCTGGGAGGCTTTTCCAGTCATCCTGGGTCCTGGGGTCTCTAACTACAGGGTCTGTAGTCCTGGGACTGATAATGCTGGAGGGACCGCAGAGCCAGAAGCCAGCCTTATAAAACGACCTGTGAGATTCTCCTTATAGCAGTGAAATCTATGTTTTGTAATTAAATGGTGGGCTGTGGGGCAAGCTTCAAATTCAACAGAAAGCACCACCTCAAAAGTCTGTCACAGAGACAGGCCCTCCCACAGATCTTGAGACCACAGCTCTGACCATTCCCGGGTCTTTCATTTCCTGCTCTCTGGAAAGTAGCTGGTGCGTACTCTACAACTTTCCAGAGATTAGTGACATTCTACCCTTTCAGCTCTAATTAAGTTGCCTCTGAGGATGGAAGAGCTGAAAGCAATTAGAGAAAAAAGCAGTATTTTAAGTTTGATTGTTGAATGGGGGGGGGAAGAGATAAAAACTAATGTTTAATTCAACTGCACCTGTCTGCCCATCTGATATAGATGTGGCTGCATGTGAACGAGAGGGTTGTCAAATCCCAGGCCAGCTCCCTGGTTGCTGCCTGAGCAGAGGGCTCAAACCCTTGGGTTTTGTGCCCCCTTTTCACTCCTAAAATTGGATGTGGGTCTTGTCTATCTATAATTACTAGATTTGAAATTAAAACAGGAATTTAAATAATGTTTCATTAATTTATTTTTAAGTAAATGATGAACCCACTTTATGTGAATATGACTTATTTCTATGAAAAAAAATCTATATTACCCCATTCCAAACAAAACCCCAAACAAACAAACCAAAAACAACCCTAGTAAAAAGAGCAGCATCTTTTCATATTTTCACAAATCTCTGTACTGCCAGGCCTGATGGAAGACAGGCCTTTGATTCTCCAAGGGCTTAAGCATTCTGCAGACTCCACCTGCTCCCTAGAGGAAGGTGGTGGAAAGGGTGAACAATAGCGAGGGCCTCTGGGCGCCAGGTTTGATTCCATAAGCCCCTGAATGGTCCCACGGGTGTGCGCACTGGGCCCCGGATCCCGGAAGCCAGGGTCAGGGCCAGGGTCAGGGCAGCGGGTGGCCATACCTGGAGGAGTCACCAAAGACAGGTTCATGCGCATGGTCGTGCACAAGATGTCTTAATTGAACTTTTTCTAACAGCTAAGCACTCTAACCCTAAATGTGTGGAGATAGAAATGATTAAAATAAATCTTGGGTTCTTGAAACTGAATAGTCAGTCGCCACCGAACAGAAGATAAACAGGGAGGATATTGTGCAATTAGAAGTACCCTCTGCACTTAGCAGAGAACCCGCACCATGGGACGCTGTGCATCACGTTGCTCCCGCGTTTTTAAAAGACAGTGAAACGCGTGCAACTGGAAAAGACACAGGAAACTCCTCAAGATGACTGATTGTGTTTGGTGAGATGGAGAAACCGGGGAGACAGGTTTTTAATTTTTTAAAAATTTAAGTCTTCCAGCAACGAGTGACACATGGCGACGCTTGTGTTTGGCCCTTAAATTAAAAGAAGGCAGGAGGGGGTTCTCTCGGTGACGGGGTCACGTCCCATTTCCGCACTTGGGGTGCAGGGTGCTGCCGGGCTGGGCCATTTTACCTGCCCTGACAGCGTCCGGGAGAGGAGCCCGGCTTTTCCGCCCTCGGCCCCGCCCACGCTGCCCTCGCCCTTCCCATTGGCTCCGCGCCGCGCCTCCTCGCCCAATCGTGGCCTTTAGCGCCACAATTTGAACCGCCGTTTTGGTTTGAATTGGCGGCGCGGCGGGCCCTGGCGCGGAGTAGCCAGGACACCKGGCGCGGCGGGCGGCGGCGGCGGGCGGCAGTGGGGGCGGCGCGGGGGCGCGTGGACACCGCTCGCGTCCCGCTCCCCTGCCGCGCACTGCGGGCGGCGTAGACGGCGCTAGGTGAGCAGGCCGGGCACGGGTGGCTGGGGCCGGAGCCGCGGCGGCCGGCGCCGACGTCTTGGCCGCGGACCCCGGGGTTGGGCCCTGGGTGTCGCCGCCACTCTGAGCCGCTCCCGGTAGCACCCACCTCTTCTGCAGGGAGCGCGGCGAACTTCGCAGGTGCAGTCGGAATCCTGGGTCCTGCGACCCGGCGCACAGATAGGGTACAATGCGGCCCGCGGGGCGCCTGGTGACCATCAAGAGGAGCGGGGCGGACGGAGCCCACTTCCCGCTGAGCCTCAGTAGCTGCTTGTTCGGAAGGTGAGCTCGCCGGCCTGGGCGGGTGGAGGGCTCGCGGCTCCGGCGCGCAGGTCGCTGCGCTTCCTGGACGTGGCAGCTGCTCGACCCGGCTGATCTGCTAGGGAAAGGTTGACTACATCCTTGGTACATGTGCTGTGGTGATTGACATGCGTTATGCGCGTTTTTGATCAAACAGATTTTGCAGTTGGTTTGATAAATATTTTTCAGTGCAGAGAGGTGTAGATGATTCTTAAACCCGACTGTCTTTAAAAGACACTGTCCCTCCCCAGTAGACACGACCTGGCTGCTCTGGACCTCAGCATTCACTGGGCTGCTGCTCTGTTTCAAAAAATAAAAACCGGAAGGAAAGCCTCCCCCACACCTGCTGCTGTGCTCTGAAACCCCTCAGCGGTTGGCTTTCTCTTTGGGTGCAGTAATATCCCTGGTCCCGGAACGATGCACACAGTTACTAATGGCACCCCCTCACCCTCTAAGGTGTCCTCTAGGTGTGTGATAAGGTCACCTCCCACTGTCTGGTCCCTGTCCTGCATTCTGGCATCACCCCATCCTCTGGATTCCTTCATCTCTCACCATCTTCCTGAGGCATTCCAACCTCTTACTTGTGTTGGTATTTTTAAAAGTTTGAACTTGATGGCTGCATTATTCCCCCTACTCTTGTGCTTGAGGTATTCCTTTCTGTCTTTCAAGTATCTGTTTAAATTGTTATTGGAAGCCAGCCTTTAATGAGCACATGTTTTTCCTAGCATTATCACATGGATGATTAGTGTTTTTGGTTTGTTTCTCCTGGAAGTCTGGGCCCCAAGGGCAAGGGCTGTCTTAATAGTTATGCACCCAGAACAAGGTGTGGAGTCTGGCACATGAGAGGTGATCAATCTATACCATGAGTACATGTCTAGTAGAAAGATATGCTGGAGATTTGGATTTAAAATCAGTGAATAATAGTGGTTCTTGAGAAACAACACCATTTTACCTTTCAGGGGCCATTGGGCAAGGTCTGGGGACATTTTTCCATGTCACTTCTGGAGAGGTGTGTGGCAGAGGGCAGGGTTACTAGGAAACACTCAGCAATGCACAAGACAGCCCAACCTTGAAGTCTTCTCTGGCTCAAAATGTCAACAGCAGTGTTGACATTAAGAAACACTAGGGTTGGGGCTGGGGCTGGGGCTCAGTGGTAGAGCGCTTGCCCAGCATGTGTAAGGCACTGGAATCGATTGTCAGCACAGCATATAAATAAATGAATAAAATAAAGGTCCATCAACAGCTAAAGAAAAGAAGCACTAATGGGTTCTGCCAACAAAACCCACTTCTAATGAAAAAGTTCTTCTTTGCTGCAATGTTCTGGTACCTAAAATTCAGATTCTCTTCTTGATTTTAAAGAAGCTGTCACTTTGCCTAATTTCCTTTCTCTTCAAAAGAAAAAAAAAAGTCCAGTCTTGAATGGCATTCATTTTGGTTATTATAAATAGTACTGCAGCATAGATTTTGCAGGTTTTTATTATTTTAGAGCAGTACATAAGTGCTGTGATAGATGCAGCTGTGCTGAGCCTGGAGGTTCATGTGGAGCCCCTACAGGAAATAAAAGTCTGTCCACTCCTAAAACCCCAGAGGGAGTGCAGTACCAGAGGCTCCCCAGCACTGGGCATTTAGGGTTTCCTTCTGTGCTTTGCCACCATGTCAGCTTTCTGTGCACAGACAGTTGATTCTAGATATTGTTTTTTGTTGCTGGCCTATCAGGATTTTTGATGTTAGGAGACTTTTGAATCTATTTGTTAGTAAGGTGTAGTTTTAAAACAGCAGTGAAGAGCTCACACTTGACATGACTWGGTGCCAGGCACAGGGTGACACGTGCATTGTTTGAACAACACCGACCTGGACACTAAAGAAACCTTTCTGTATATGAAGAAGCTGAAGCACAGGGGGTTGCTAGCAGGAAATACTGAACTTTGGGGTTGGTTAAATCTTTAATCGTACATAAACTACTTAAAAACACAAAGCAAAGCATTAAAGTCTTATAAGCGTAGCTATTTTTGTAAAGGGTAATTAAATTTGTATTGTAGTATTTTTCAGTTCTAATTAAATACTCTACTGGGCTTGGTGGCACATGCCTCTAATCCCAGTGGCTTGGAAGGCTGAGGCAGGAGGATGGTGAGTTCAAAGCCTGCCTCAGCAAAAGCTAGGCACTAAGCAACTCTGTGAGACCCTGTCTTTAAATAAAATACAAAAGAGAGCTGGAGATGTGGCTCAGTGGTGAAGTTCCCCTGGTACCCCCCCCCCACCAAAAAAATTAAGTACTCTAAGTTTTAAAGATTTCAAATAGCTTTTTATGCAACATTTGTAAAAACTTTTGCAAAATATGAAGACCATTTACACTGCATTGTTTTATGTGTTGTTGTTTTTTTTTTTTTGGTTATTCCTGGTCATTACATTTATAGATCAAGCACATTAGTCCAATTCTGTTTTGTTTTGACAATTTGGGATGAATTTTTAAGCAGTTACAACAACCAAAAAAAAATCTTAACTCTTTTATATTAAGGGGTACCGAATGTGACATTCGTATCCAGCTTCCTGTAGTGTCAAAACAACATTGCAAAATTGAAATCAAGGAACAGAAGGTAAGTGAGTGGGTTTTTGGAAGTTGATTTTTGAAACTTTAATTTGCTTTTTTATCTTGTCATTAATTACATATTTTCCCCCTTTTTTTTAACACTTGTAGGCAATATTGTGTAACTTCAGTTCCACTAATCCAGCACAAGTAAATGGGTCTGCTATTCAAGAACCCGTACCACTAAAGCATGGAGATATAATAACTATTATTGACCGTTCTTTCAGGTAGGTAGAAATTAGTTCAGCTAACAACAAATGGCCTGCTCTGATTAACCGTGGACAGTGCTGCTATTTGGCTGTGATTCCTCCTGATGGTGGTGACGTGGAAGGGCTTCAGGCTTCACTTGCAGTCTTGATAATCTAGAAGCATAGGTCTCTAGGAGTGACACTGTACCCAGATAAGATGGAATTCCAGCATTAAGTGGAAGATAGGTAAACTCATCTTAAAGGAGGCTGTTATTTTCTTGTGAATGTTATGAAACTGTGCTTTTTTAGTTGCTTTTTATTTTAAGCCGAATGCATTCATAGATAGCTACAAAGCAAGATGAACGCTCTTGCGATTGGTTACTACCTGGATGGACTGAACTGTGCTCCCTCGGCACCTGTATTTTGAATTCCTCACCCTGAGTACCTTAGAGTGTGTGAGCGAGGGCTTTAAAGAGAAGTTACACTGAGCCCTTGGGTGGGCCTAGGATGCAGACGCCAGAGGGCAAGTCCAGAGGGCAAGTGTGTGAAGAGGCCAGAGCGGGAGGGCAGCCAGCAGGAGCCGAGGAAGGGCAGAGGAAGCCAGCCTCTAGAACCCTTGGTCTTGGCCTTCCAGCCTCCATGGCTGAGAGCAGCAAAGTTCTGTTGAAGACACCTTATGGTGACTCATTGTGGCAGTCCTAGCAGACTTAATACACCACCCATGTCTTAGGAGATTTCCAGAAGTTCTTCTGTGCTCTCTCTGGTCACTACTTCTTTTTCCAAGAAAGTCACCATGGTAGTAGAACACATCTGTCTTTGGAGTTTTGCTGCTTGAGCATGATCTCCAGGCACTAGAGATGTCTGTCTTCTAGATGCTCCCTAACAGTGAAGGAATACAGCGGTTGTGCGTCTGGCTGCTGCTCTGTGAGGCCCTCTAGCATGTTGGGTGTCTCTATTGTTCCCCCTCATTGCATAAATATTTGATTTAAAAATGTGCACAGCATGCATCATAACAGAAAATTCAAGTGTAAATACAAACAGCTCATTCCAGGAGTGTGGAGGAGAGGTAATTCTCTTTTTGAAATATGTTGAGGCTTTCTTTATGATCAGATATGGTTAATTTCTCACTAAGTCTGTGTATTTGAAAACAGTGTATTATCTAGCTACTGAATGCCGTGTTCTATCTAAATTGATAGATTAGATTCAAATCCTCTATATTGAATTATTACCCTATTTATTAATTACTCTAAGATGTTGAAATCACCTTCTGAGGATTCATTTATTCCATTTTTTAGCCTTTTTGGTTTTTACCATGTTTGGAAGCCTCCAAATGGCATATAATGGCATACAAAAGTCCCCCTGGAGCTGGCCCTGAACATATGGCTGTCATCAGAGCTCTGGCACAGAACTCTGTCACTTATAAACTTCCTCTACCTTTTACCCATATTTCTTTTGGATAATAATTGTAGATAAATTAATTTCTTTCTGATTAGTGCTTACACAGTGTAGTTTTTTCCACCCCTTTAATCTTAACTTTCCATCATTCGTATGGCCTCTTTGAACCTACTGTCAAGTGACTTGTTTTAATTGGAATATCTTCTGGATGGATTGAACTTTGTATCATGATAAAATGTCCTTTGTCTCTATGTGCAATTTTAAAGGACATTCTTATTGAATGTAGACTTCTAGGTAGGAAGTATCTGATCTGGAATGGAGACCAGCACTATTTTCCCCAAAGAAAATACCGTTAGATGGAGATCAGTTGAGATGATTAGAGATCTCTAGTGAAGAATAGAAAACAGGCCTTAGGGAAAAGGATTTGATTCAGCCCTCTGATATCATAAGAAACCATTCCAGATACCTAAAGACTTTCAATCCGGGTAGGATCAAAATTCAAATCAGGCTCTTTCAAAAATCCTGTAGAATAATGGATTGCTTCCATGGATTTGATCTCAGATCAGTCACAACAGTTATGGAGCCCCACTAAGATCCTAGGCACAGAGTAAGTGGGAGTAGATGATCATGGTGTTCTGAAACAGCCCTGCAGTTCCCTGAAGTGAAGTCACAGCTTTATGTTCACCTGAAGTGTGTCACTCCACGGTGAGTGAAGAGCGAGTTACCTCCGGGTTGCAGGAGGTGTGCTTCATGCTGTTCACTGGCTTCCAGGAGTGTGGGGGAGAGGAAGCTGGCTCTGCTCCTATTCAGTAGGCATTCACACAGAGGTGCTCAGAGAGATTGTCTAGCCATTCCCAGGCCAGTCAGTAGGAGTTAATCTGGGTTCCCACCTCTGACAACAGTGTTCCAAAAGAAACCTGAGAAAATTGATTCAAGTTTCAGCTCTAAGTTCATTTCAGTGTAGAAGGTAATGTTCCGAACAGAGCCTGAAGTTTTTTCTTGCACATGACCCAATATGGAGGCTTCAGCTAGAGGGTGTGAATCCCAGACTAACTCTGCCATCCTTCCCTGTGCTGTAGGTATGAAGATGAAAGTCGACAGAATGGCAGCAAGTCAACTGAAAGTCCTGGGAGGACTCGTGAACAGGTGATGGGAAGGACCATTTGGATTGGGGCTCTGATTCTTCTTTGATGATAGGAAATCATTTAGAGGCATTTTGACAAATGATTTTTTCTTACTTTAAATCAGCGAGGATGGCTTTCTGGCTATAGCAGAAAAATAAGATACGAAAACAAGTTGAACCTTAGACACAGTGAAATAATCTAAAACTGTTTCTTTGTGATTCAGAATGAGGGTACTGCATTGTCTTATGCTTTTGGCCAGAACGTCTCCTCTAGTATGCTGTGCTCTTCCTGGAAGCCTGTGGTTGGAGCAGCCCTGACCCAGGGACATAAACCTTGGGATCTGCACTGCCTCATAGTAGCTTTTGTCCTCCTCTCATTATTCTCATCCATCTGTGTGTCTAAAGTAATCATGTAAAGATCGTGAGAACCAAGATGCTTCCTGTTGTGATGTGAAGCCAGTCCCAGGGATAGGCCATGTGAGAAGCCCTGGCTATCTAGACTGTCAGTGCACAATGGGTACACCAGGGGCACAGCTTATTAAGCACGATTCTGGTCACATGCTTGGAGACTTAGTGCTTGGAGACTTTGTGGGGCGCAGCCGCTCTAGGACGTGTCCTGAGAATTTGTCTTTTCTGCTCTTTGGGAAGCTGCTCACGAGCAGCTTTGTGTGGGGCCAGGTGGAGTTGTTGGTTTGGAAGTCAGCAACAGGCACTTGAGCTCAAGAGCTCTGCCACAGCCTGGTGACGGGGGTAGCTCATTGAGTCGGGGCTCATCTGCTCCTGTGCTGCAAACTATTTTGGGGGGTTATCCCACACACCAGCCGTTATCCAACTTGTTATTAGGTKTAAAGAAGTTAGCCAAGTAGTTATGGAACTATGGACTGGACTTCTTGGCAGTCTGTATCACTTGTCACCTGTGATTAAAGTAAATATTAAAGTTGCATATGTTGAGAAAATTATAGTAATTTGACAGGGATTTTATGGCTATCAATAAAATGGCACAAAAATGGGATTATATATATCACACATATTTTAAATTTTATTAGTAGTTCATTTTTGTTGTTTAGTCATAAGATTCTGGTCCATTTTGGATTGGAAATAAAATAAAACTCATCTTTCATAGATAGTTTTAGAAGGTGTTAAATATCAAACTTGAAGGGACTCAGTGAAGCGGTTAGACTCTTTGCCTTTGGTAATAGCTTTTGGAAATTTTCTTAGTATTCTAGGTGATACACTTTTCCTCTGGAGTCTCAGGCTTCTGCGACTTGTCTACATGTCATTTGTTATTTCTTTCCTGTTGGGCTGCCAGGGTGTGTGGGGGTCTAATATGCAGGCTGAGGCTGCAGTGCCCCTGGCTGAGTTGCTTCCACTGTGCCTTCACCTGGGCTCTCAGGTGACAGCACTGAACATGCTTGTGGCCATGGTTCACCCACAGGTCCTGGACCCATTTCTGCTGAAGCTTGTGGTCAATAGTTCTGCTTGGGGTGGGTGAATAGGTGTAGACAATGCTCGATTTTAGCTTGATTCCTCTCTCATATGATACGGGGCCATCACTTGAAGTTATAGAATCTTTCTGAGGTTTAAGTTAAGTCATTTTATGCCTGGGGTTTGTTTTTTTATTCTATCACTTGCTCTTATTTAAAAGCCAGCTAAGATGTGTCTGGATCTTGACCACTAGCTTCTCAAAGTCTCTAAATGTCAAAGGAGCAGCTTTGCAAAGAAGATAATTAGTAAAAAAGAATATTTTCATTGTGATGACCACCAACATTTAGGAAGGCACTGAAATCATTGTTCTTGCTTTCCCAATGCACAGGGACCAGCGCGGCGTGCCTCRAGAGCTGGCTCTTCAGCTGACCCTGGTTTGTACTTGGTTGGGTTCACTTCTGGGATCCTCAGGGCCAGACCACTGCACAGTGGCCAGGGGAGGGCTAGTGGGGGCACAAGTGTGAGACTCTAGGAGGTGTGCCATGTGACCCGTCAAGCCTAGGCAGAGCTGTCACCGTTTCCCTAGTAATTGATGGGTTACTGAGTTTAGGGTAGAGTCCAAGTTCACATAAATTGAATTTTCAGTTGTCAGTTTAATTCTGAGTCATTCAATAGATTATTGTCACTTCATCTTGATTGGAGGCTAATGTGATTTTTTTTTATTTATTTGAATCAAAATATTAATATCTTAAGGCTTACAGAGTTTAGGCAGTAAATAATTTGTAGACTAAGGGAAAAGCAAGGTTATAAGGCAATTTGAAACAATTATGATACTAAATTCTACAAGTTTTAATCATTGAGAAAATCTTGAATTTCTGTTTCTTATTTCAAAATTTATTGTCAAGATGGGAAAGAGCAAGATTCCAAAGCCCATTCAAAGATCATGGGAAGAAATGCTTGGGGAAAGCCTGTGGAGTGTGCCAAGGAGATCACAGGAGACAGTCCTGCCTTGGATGATGCTGACCCAGAACCACCTAGCGCTCGGCCCTCAGAACATCAGGGGCAGGATGGCAGAAATGCAGGGGATACCTCTTCTGGGGACTCTAAGGCAAAGCCCAGAGTAACGTTAGTGAGCAGCCATGGAACACCGAGGTCTGTTGCCTCTGCGCAGTGCTTGGACAACAGCAAGAGAAGTGAATCCCCCTTTAAGAAGCTTTATCAGTCGATGAAGGAGGAGTTGGATGCAAACCCAGCAGGACAAAATGTACAATGCCAGAGGAAATCAGGAGCACACAGTGGTGGCCCAGCAGAGAGAGGAAGCACTGGTAGTTTGCAGAGGGAGCCCCAGCTGGTGCTGTCATGTCAACCAAGACGGAAATCTGGGAGGAGCCCCCCCATGAAGGAAGACCCTTTCCCAGAACCAGAGACCGGCCAGACTGAGAAGGGAAGTGACTTGGAGCCCATGGAGGCCTCGAAGAGGCTTGTGGGTCCCGGCACTCCTCTCTCTAAGATGACCAGAGAGAAGGCCCCTGTGCCGTGTCCACAGCTGCCAAGTTTTGCTCAGGAACATAAGAATGAAGACCTGCGTGTGACTCTGAGTGAAAGTGCCGGTGTCAAGGCAGTCGATGTGACAGGTCCTCCTGGGAAGCTTTTAATTAGAAATCAAGCACCAGTCAAAGCCGAAGGCACTGCCAACCCCAACAAAAAGCCAGAAAATCTTTCTTCTAGAAGCAGGAGGAGTGTTCCTACAAATATGGAAGTGCTGCCCACAGAAATCCAGAGCCAGCCTTTTTTAACTCAGTATCTCACTCAAGTTGAAAAGAAGATTCAAAAGGATTCCTTCAATAAGCCTGAGAAATTGGGCACAGCGGCTGGACAGATTTGTTCTGGGTTACCTGGTCTTAGTTCGGTTGATATCAGCAACTTTGGTGATTCCATTAGTAAGTTTGTTTAATGATAAATCTACTTTCCCCCAAAGTTTAATATCTACTGTATATATAGATACTAATGAGACTGTCAATAAATATGAGCTTTGTGGTGAGGAACCTACTTAAGCCCGAGGGTGCAATGACGAGGCATGTTTCCATTTCAGGTATAGATGAGTCTAAAGACCTGGATTATTGTAGCCAGCCACAATGGGAAGGTGCACTAGTAGGGAAGTATGCACAGGCCACCTGGGATAGGTAACCCCAAAGCATGTGGTTCTCTTTCCTTCTATCTCAAAATAGGAAGGGGAATATTTATAATTGCTTTTGATTTAGGGTTCAGTTGTGAACTACAGCTTACTGAATCCTATGCATTAGGTTGGAATAAACCCCTGGAAACCCTGTGAGAATCACTGAACATAGTGGTAGCTCTCAGAGATTAATGCTTTGTTCTCAGAGTCTCTTCCAAGCACTGTGTTATAAACACTGGACTAGGTGTTGGGCTTTGTAGCCACTGACACCGGGAGGAACGTCCATGAAGTGTTCTTATATTCCTATTGCAAGTGGGGCAGCTAACAACCCAAAGTCCCAGAGTGAGTGTCTTTCATACCAGGAGTGGAGCTCTGGCTTCTTCCTACTTGCTGCAGCTGGACCACTGTGTCTGTCCACTAAGCCTCCTACAGGGGCTCCTCACTTGGTCAGAGATTTGTGCTGATGGGTGGTTCAGGAGGTTGGGCGGGGGGCTGAGTCACATGAACCCCCCAGATAAGTTTTTATGGCTCACATTCTGCTCACTATTTGTAGGTGTGGGTCAGGCCCAAGCATGTGTGTCTTAGAAAGTTCTCTCTGGCCACTGTTAGTGTTTGTCTCCATCATCCCTCTGCCCCAGTGCCAGCCGCTGCTACAGACTGGTCACTCTCTTCAGTGTTAGAGAAAAGCTCTGCACTGTGCACTAGACACTTGCTGTCTCAGTTGCTCCTCCCGAGGTATTTTYGGGAGTCCCAGGGTAGCTTTGGCTTCACCAAGGTTTAGAAGAACCCAGGTGTCAGGTTCCAGTTGGTTAGATTTTAATAGTAGTTTGAAATAATCATGCCTCCTGTGAGGTTTACTCATGGCCCTTTTCACATCTGCCGTCCTTCCTTAGACAAGAGTGAGGACTTGTCCTTGAAGAGAAGGCGCGTGTCCTTTGGTGGTCGTCTAAGACCTGAATTATTTGATGAAAACTTACCTCCTAATACCCCTCTCAAGAAAGGGGAGACACCAGCCAAGAGGAAGTCTCTTGCAGCTCACAGTCCAGCTGTCCTGAAGAAGATCATCAAGGTAGGCTGGACAGGCGGTGGCCTTCTCTGCAGGGCTCACAGGGACACACCTCCTGCCCAGATGCTGCTCCAAGCAGAGTGGCCAGTCAGATCTGCAGTCTTCTAATCAATAAGCTTTTACGGCACTCAGTCACTTATCTTATTTGGTCTGGGAAGGTAGACATCAGCTCCCAGTTGGCTGTAAGGTGGCTCAGTGGGTCGGGCGTGTGTGACACTTTTACTTTTGGAGCTCAAGACCCCCGACACCTGTGCCTATATACACCTGTGCCACAGACCCACCTGTGTCACACTACAGATGTCCAGTTAGAAAGATTCTGGGTTCATTGACTCATAGCCACGGGATCATTTCATCTTCTTCAGGGTTGAAGGTGAAGTCAGGGCTTTTGACTGGGAAGGAGGAAAATCTTTGGTAAATCCGTCTCTTTTGCACAGTCAGCTTTGTAGGCATTTTTGTCCCTGGTGCTCTGCCTCCCTCCCTGTCTTCAGCCCCTGGGGAGTGGGACTGCGTGGCTCACTGTAGCCAGGACTGTCCAGCTTTACTCTCTCTTAGTAACAAGAAGAAGTGGCAAGGCCCACCTCTCTCCTTCCTGTTTTACCCTGGCTCGCAGTGGCCAGTCTCGTGACCAGACACCTGCAGTGGGCTGGGCCAGGACTGAGCTCGGAGCTGGGTCATCTCACTCAGCAGGCTGTCCCTCCATCTTTCCGCTGGGAATACCTCCAGTCCGACTGGATTTCTGCTTTGTCTCCATTTTCCTTCCCTAAGTGAATGGGACAAGCTCAGCTCTGCCTTAACCTTGTAAGACAGTGCTTTAAACATTGGGTGCTTTGAGATTTTAACAGCTTAAATTCTTCATTGAAAACATTTTGGCAGGCCTGACAGAGATGTTATGTTTTGGGGAAAGTTTCTCTTGACCATTTCTTCCCATCAGGAACAGCCTGCGTCACTAGGAACAGAGTCTTCAGGAGTCTGCTGGGAAGTAAAAGCACAGAGTGTGTCTACAGGGTTCCTAGCTGCTAGTCCCAGAATAACTGCAGCAGGGCCAGGTGATGAAAGACGCAGATCAGGCAAGGCCTCAGCTACCTCTGGTGGCAACAAGTCCCCTCAAGACACTCCTAAGAAAGCTGGGAGGAAGAGTGGCCAACTGTCTTCAAAGAGGACTTCTATTAGCCGAAGCCAACATGGCATTTTGCAGATGATTTGTTCCAAAAGGAGAAGCGGTGCTTCTGAGGCCAACCTCATTGGTTAGTGTTGGGTTGGAGAATATGTTTTAAGGTCATTTTTTCTCATTAATTAGTCCCAGTTTTTGTTTAAGTTTCACCATCTTTTCTCTGACAGTTGCAAAATCGTGGGCAGATGTAGTTAAACTCGGTGCAAAGCAAACACAAACAAAAGTTGTGAAGCATGGCCCCCAGAGGCAGGTGAACAGAAGACAGAGAAGACCCAACACTCCCAAGGTAGGAGATTCCTGTGGGTGGCTTGTGCACACCTGCTGCTGCTCAGGTCGCCTGAAGTGTGTGCTCATGCTCTGCTGTTTTGTCCCTCTCACCTCTTTCCACAGAAGCCCACAGGCCCCGTTCACCATCAGTTTAGCACGGGCCATGCAAACTCTCCTTGTACCATAATAATAGGGAAGGCTCAGATTGARAAAGTGACCGCGCCTGCTCGGCCCTACAGGATGCTGAACAACTTGGTCTTCAGTCAGAAAATGGACTATAATGAAGACCTTTCAGGTAAAGCAGCAGAGTTCCTGTGATCGTAACTCTTGATGTCCTGACTGTGACTCTGATGCTGTTTGCCACCTTTGCTCATCTGCTGTGCGTRCCATCATAGAGCAACAACCGAGGCAGCTGGCCAGGGTCACAGACTTCAATACGGGAAGCTGGTTGGGAGTACAAGGCCATGTCTGCACATTGGGATCATGTGTCCTCCAGAAAGCACCTCTGAACATGGCAGCTGCTTTGCATGCTTTTTCCCGGACGGCAGCATCGGAGCAGGGAACTGAAAATGCTTTGGGGGGAGAAGGCCACCTTTTCTTAGTTCCCTTTGCTGTGCAGTTGTTATGGCTGCTCTTGGCGGAGCTGGAACAGGTGTTTTTGAGCAGTGCTTCGCTTCTTCAAGCAAAGCTTTCTTTCTTTGAAACTTAACTGTATCTTGAAAGAAAGGCTCTAGGAGAACCTACCAGGAGGGTCTTTAGACCATTAATTGAGCCAATGCTTCCACACTGTTCACATTCTTATGAAGGTGTGAGCTGACTTGCTTAGAGATCACAGCTATGGCGAGGAAGCAGGTTTTAGGTTCCATATCACATGGTAGATGAGTGGTTTCCACTGTGCAGCTCAGGAGGGAGCTGAGTTTTGAATTGACTGGATTTTGCAACCTTATTTTTATTTCATGGCATGTTGGGAATTGAAAGTCATCGTACTGCTCAGTAGGCAAAGTGCATTAATAAGAGTAATACTTGGATCAATTCATTTATCTTTAAAAAGAAGAGCAAAACAGAAACAGTAGGTGAATGTATATATGTATACYTGTAAATTGTGAGTATGTATAGGATACTGATGCACATTTTACAAAATGTTAAAAACAGCTCAAAAGTACTTCTTTTTATATATCAACCTCTAATTTGAATTTTTTTTTAGTTATGCATAACACTAGGATTTGATTTGGCATAATTATAAAAACATGGAACATAAGTTCGYTCCATTTCAGTCCCCAGTACTTGTCCTTTCCCTCCTATCCTCCCTCTCCTGGTCCCTTCCCGCTTCTCTACTGATCTTTATTCACTTTCAGCTGGGTTTTGGTGTCTTGCCGGTATTGGTGAAGGTGAGCTGCTCTGTGGAATGCCCAGAGACTTGCATAGCAGAGCTGGGTCAGCTTCGCCCACTGCCTTTTATTTTAATAGGWCCCCCCACCCCCATCCTGCGGCCCCTTTTAAGATAAAAATGAGATCTTAAATACTCTGTGCCTAGGACACTGGGTTGTCCCAAGCACTTCTTCCTTCAAGACCCTTGTAGGAGTCCTGCAGTTTTACCCCTGGGTGTTACTGTCCACTTAGAAACAGTAACTGCTGGACCTAGGCCCTGGGTGCTTTGGGGAAGGCCTGGAGGGCTGAGAGGAAGGAGACCTCTGTGAAGGACTGGGTCAGTTGGGAGCCTCAGCTGGCTTCCCAGACGATCCTGCAGAGGGCGCTGGCCCAGGAATGCGGGCTCCCTCTCCGCGGCTGCAGCACAGGAGAACAGGAGTGCAATCTTACACATGAGATACTGTATTCTTTCTTTTTCTGAGATGTCACTACTGCTTTGTTGGTGTTAAAATGGTATGCAATGCTATTTGRATTTTTAAAAATACATACCATGACTTGTCCAAACTAAAAATGGGCAGCATCCCGTCACTTTCTAAAAGGTGGGGAGATATTATTTGTACGCAAAATCTTGGAGGAACCAGAACTCTTGGGGAAGCAGCAGGCCCTTGGGACTGGATGCCCGGGGGGGAGACCCTGAGGGAACAGGCCCACCACCAGTTTCTGTCCTGCCGGCTCTTTTGTTGGCGGACTAGTTTGGAAGACCATAGAGGACGACTCCCTCATTTGATTTCCTCTCCTGTGAGAAAGGGGTAGAGGAGAAGCTGTATCCACCTGTTTTCTCATTGTCCTCTTTTAAAAATGAGCACATTATTAATAGCTAATGAGACCCTGAGTCCTAGGCGTCCTGGGGCTTAGGAGTTTGCCTCCCATCATTCAGTCTGTTTGGTATGAGAACTGGGGTGGCTAAGTGTACATAAGTAATATGTTCAAGATGTTTTCATTTTCCAGGGCTCACTGAAATGTTCAAGACCCCAGTGAAGGAGACAACTCGAAGGACAACCACGTCTCCCAGCACTCTTTCCAGTTCAGAGAAATCGCTTGGAGAAAAGCCTCAAGTAACTAACTCCGGAGGAAAACCTCTGCCCCTCACTTTGGAGATTCCGGGTTGGTTGGCTTTCCTCCTAGACTGTCCTGCACTRGGAACTCAGAGATGGCTTCATCTCTAAACCTTCAGGCGCTGTAGTGTTACTTCACAGCAGAGGCCCCTGATGAAACACCCTTTCTGCCTTCTCTGCTCTGTTCAAGCAGAGATTCCTGTTGGCTGTGAACTACCACTGCGTCCACTTACCACGTGGATAGAAACAGCCAATAAGTTCAAAGGTTCCCACACACTTTTAGCTTCTTTATGTATTCTAAGAGAATGATGTGGCAGAAAGGTATACTTGCTCTCATACTTATGAATCACTCATATTCAGAATAATTGCGAATTATAGAAGAGAAAGACAGTGATCTGTGCACTAATTATCCCTCTTAATGGTGTGGGTGGGAGGAGCCCCAGGAGCCCCTTTCCTTTGGTGCTAGTCATTGCATCCCTGCTACGGAGGGAGCAGCTCGCTGCCTTTCGGAATGTTGCTGCTGTTGAAATGTAGGCGTTTCCTGCATGATATGGACCCCAAGCATACAGGGTAGAAGTCTTGTTAATTAACTTCATTAATGGTTTAAGCCAAGAAATACCTGTTTCTCATATCTGAGAAAATAATTGCCTACATTCAGGTCTGTGGCCCTGGCCTGGCAGCCTTCAGAAGAGCCAGCATTAGGCACCTTTCCCCAAGTAATCACTACAAACCCTAACTACCACTTAGTGATGGCCCCACTTTATCACCAGTGACATCGCACTGAAGGGTACATGGCTCACTGATGAGACAGATTTATGTCCATGTTAGCAGCCTCACATTCCTAGAATGTTGAGAGGAAGCTGGATTRTTGGTTCAGACACTATATTTCTTGAGAATAAAATACTAAGTTGATTTAAAACAATAAATATAAGAGCTAATATACTTTTGTTATAGGATCAAGTGTGCTCTCYGGTACACAGAAAACAGCAGAACCATCTGAGACGTGTTTTGCAAGCCCATCCTTAAGACGGCAGAGTATTAGAAAAGATGGAAACACAGAGAAAGCTCCYAGGAACATCAGTACAATGACTCATTTGGAGATGAGAACTCGGRGGTTTTCACCAGAGCCTCTGAAGACGGTGTCCAGTGCCAACAAGCTCAGAAGATCCGTGGAGCTCAGAAACGCAGAGGTGCCCCGGGTGGAGAGCAAGACCGAAGCAGGAGCAGACGCTGCCCGGGCCCTCCCAGGAAGACGCCTGAGGGAGACGCCCCGGGGAGGACAGGCGGGGGGCCGAGAGGAAAGTGCCCAGTCAGAAGGAAAGGGTGGCAGGGTGACAGATGGAAGGAGATCGAGAACTGGGGGCCTGAAGAGTGAACCCACAGCCAGCCTCACAGACCCGGAGAAGACACTCAACGTGGAACCCTGGGAAGACCCGTCGGGTAGCCAGCGGCTGCCCCGAACACCAGGGGGCACCCAGGAAACAGTGAACGAGGAGGAGGAAGCCACTAAACTGCCCTGTGGAACTCCTCTGCCCAGTCCAGCAACTCCCACCGCCAGTGGGAAGAGACGGCGCAAGAGATCTCTGGGAAAGGTGGATGTACAGGAGGAGGCCTCTGCGCTGAGGAAGCGCGCCCACCTGCCAACGGAAGCCACGCACTCCCATGCAGCGCCAGGAGGAGATGAGGAAAGCACTGGGGTGTCGAGGGGAACTCCAGAGCAGAAGGAGGACTCAGTGGTGTATGGAACTGGAGTGAAGAGGGGGCCACGAACTCCTAAGAAAAAGACCCAACCCCTAGAGGACCTGGCTGGCTTCAAAGAACTATTCCAAACCCCAAAACACATTGAAGAGTCTATGGCAGCCGATAAAACAAGATTGCTAGTCAAATTGCCCGAACCAGGACCTGTGGGAACCTCAACAAGCACAAAAACACAAGTCAACACGCTGCAAGGAAGAGTAGATGTGAAACAAGAGTGCCCTGCACCAGAGAGGCTCAGAGACACGCCCAGGGAAGCCAGGCACACAGGCAGGGCGTCAGGAGCGGGTGGCAGTGCAGGCAGAGCTCTGGAGGCCTCTGCACAGCAGGCCCTGCTCCCAGCAGCAAAGGTAACAGGGAGCAGGCGGCAGCCAGGGACACCCAGGGAAAAGGCCCAGCCCCTGGAGGACCTGGCTGGCTTCCA